TGTTTCCTTTTGTTTCAATTTCATTGATTTCAGCTCTGACTTTAATTATTTCCTGTCTTCTACTACTTTTGATGTTGATTTGTTCTCTTTCAAGGGCCTTGAGATGAAATGTTAGGTCATTTATTTCTTGACTTTTTGTTCTTTTAATGAATGAGCTCAAAGCAAGGAACTTTTCTCTTAGTACTGCCTTCATAGTGTCCCAGAGATTTTGATATATTGTATCAGTGTTCTCATTTACCTCTAAGAATTTTTTTATCTTCTCCTTGATGTCTTCTGCTACCCATTGCTCATTCAACAGAGTGTTGTTTAGTCTCCAGGTGTTGGAGTAACATCTATTTTTTATTTTATCATTGATTTCTAATTTCATTCCATTATGATCTGATAAAATACAGGGTAGTGTCTCTATTTTTTTGTATCTGCTGAAGTTGCTTTGTGGCATAATATACGGTCTACTTTAGAGAAGGATCCCTGTGCTGCTGAGAAGAAAGTGTATTCGCTTGTTGATGGATAATATACTCAATATACATCTGTTAAGTCTAACTTATTGATTGTTCTGTAGTTTTTATAAAGTTTTTCTTTGTATAATCTATCCAGTGGTGAGAGAAGTGTGTTAAAGTCACCCAGTATTATTGTGTTATGGTCTATTTAATTCTTTAAGTTGATATACATAGATGCCCCATTGTTTGGGGAATAGATATTTATGATTGTTATGTCTTGTTGATGTGTGATTCCCTTAAGCAGTATGAAATGACCTTCTTTATCCCTTTTCACTAACTTTGGTTTCATGTACACTTTATCTGATATGAAGATGGAAACCCCTGCTGTTTACATGGTCCATGTGAGTGAAAAAAAATTTTTTTCCCCCGACCTTTCACCTTCAGTCTGTGGATGTCTTTTCCTGTGAGATGAGTCTCTTGAAGGCCGCATATGGTTAGGTCTTTTTAAAAAATCTAGTCTGTCAGTCTATGTCTTTTAATTGGAGCGTTTACGCCATTGACCTTCTTGGTTATTATTGAGACATGGTTTGTATTCCTGGTCATTTGGTTTATTTTTTCTTTTTTAAATATTGTTTTACTTGTAGATGGACACAATACCTTTATTTATTTATTTTATGTGGTGCTGAGGATCGAACCCAGTGCTTTACAAGTGCTAGGCAGGTGCTCTACCACTCAGCCCCAGCCCCAGCCGTATTTTTGGTTTTTAACTTGACTTGGTTTCTCCTTTGATTAGCCTTTCCTTTAGTGTAGTTCCTCCCTTCGTAGATTTTCGTTGTTGTTTTTCATTTCCTCCTCATGGAATACTTTGCCAAGAATGTTCTGTAGTACAGGCTTTCTTGCTGTAAATCCTTTTGACTTTTGTTTATCATGGAAGGTTTTTATATCTCAAGCTTAATTTTGCTGGATATAAGATTCTTGGTTGGCATCCATTTTCTTTCAGAGCTTGGTGTATGTTTTTCTCGGATCTCCTGCTACTTTGAGGTTCTGGGCTGAAACTGCTGAGATTTGAATTGGTCTCCCCCTATATGTGATCTAGTTCCTCTCTCTTGCAGCTTTTAAGATTCTATCCTTATTCTGTATACTAGGCATTTTCATTATAATGTGTCTGGGTGTGGATCTATTGTAATTTTGTACATTTGGTGTCCTGTAAGTCTCTTGTACTTGATTTTCCAATTCCTTCTTTATGTTTAGGAAATTTCCTGATATTATTTCATTGAAGAGATTGTGCATTCCTATGGTTTGAATCTCTGTGCCTTCTTCTATCCCCATAAATCTTAGATCCGGTCTTTTGATGTTATCCCATCATTCTCGGATGTTCTGTTTATGGTTTCTCACCATCTTCACTGTGTGGTCAACTTTATTTTCAAGATTGTATATTTTGTCTTCATTGCCTGGGGTTCTGTCTTCCAAGTGATCTAATCTGTTGGTGATGCTGCCTATTGAGTTTTTTATTTGGTTTATTGTTTTCTTCATTTTAAGGATTTCTGTTTTTTTTTTTTTTCTAGAATCTCTTTCTTGAAGTTATCTTTTGTTACCTGTATTTAGTCTCATATCTCTTTGATGGTGTTATCAATGGTTGCCTGTATTTTGCTCTCTTATCTCTTTTTTAGAGTAATCAATTTTTGCCTATATTTGCTCACTTAGGTCATTCTTTAATTTGCAGATCATTTTAATTATGAACCTTCTGAACTCCTTCTCTGACATTTCATCTACTGCACTTTCAATGGATTCTATTGTTGTAATATCTTGATTTGTTGGGGCACTTTCCTCCCTTGTTTTTTCATGTTGTCTATGTGTCTTCCTCTTTTGCAGTGCAGATCTGAGGTATTGAAGCTTCTACCCCATAATCTTATAGTGTTCCTGCAGGTTACCAATATCTCACCGTTAAGAGGGATATCAATGTTTATAGCATCCAATGCAACCAATATGCAGCCATAAGTCAATTAGCTTCTATTTTGACATTTACAGTTTTGTCGTTATAAATAGAAATGATCAGTTGCATAATCTTCTACCATATAGCCAGTAGGTTTGCATAAGGATTTACAGTTTCTACTGGTGACAGAGTGGCAGGGGGTAGAATGTGATGTTTATGAGACAGGATGTAAGAATACAGAGGTGTTAGAATATAGGACTAGTGAAAGGGTAATCAAAAGAATTTGGCTGTTAGCAGGAGAAAAAAGAGAGAGGCAACTCCATGCAAGGCTCCCTGTTGCCTCTGCAACAGGATGGTGACTGTGAGCTCACCTAGAGGAGGTACCTCTGGTGCAACCAGGCCCACCAGGACCTTCGTGATGGTTTTCCAGGTCCTGGCTGTTGTCCCTAGATGGAAGTGGCTGTGTCCTTTGTTAGTGGTGGCAGTAGTGTCAAGCCTGTTTTTGGGCTTGATTTTGGGCTTCCAGGCCCCAGTGCGTGTCCCAAAGTGGAAGCTGCCCCAGATGTAGATGGCAGAGGCAGTAGCAGAGGTAACTCAAGATGGCGGTGGAGGTGTCCCGCGGTGGAGGCAACTGTTTGCAGAGATGGGGCTGGAAGGATGGATCGTAGGGTGGTATGGGTGGCCTGTTTGGTGATATAGCAGTGTGGTATGCAGTGCTGCCTCCTGGCACTGTCAGATGTCCCACTGTGGAGATTATCATGTGGGGAGGGCTGTGGCGGTGGCCGCAGTGTCCCAAGATGGAGGTGGTTTGGGTGGAGCCACACGTTGGTGAATAGGGAACTGCAGTGTAGCTCGGTGTTTCTCTCCTCGTTTTTGTTTGTCGAACAAGTCTCCTGTTGATTCGACTTCTGTTGGGCCTCTGTGACACCCCGCCTTCCAAGGATGCACAGCCTGAGATACAGTCCCACAAGGCCACACAGCAAGGAGGAGGGGCAGTTCTCAGAGCAGAAGTGGGAGCATATGAACCAATCCACTTTAGCCTTCTGTGTGGGAGGAGGGAAGCACTCAGCCTCCACCCACTATTGTCATCCTGCAGCCACACTGTGTGGGGCCAGCTGATTCTGTGAGCCTTGCCACCTGGAAGATGAGGCCACGCCTACCTGCACGCCTCACAGCCACTTCAAGAAAAGGCCTGTTGGCAGCCGCTCCTCTTATCCCGTCTGTCATGTCCAGCTCCCAAGGAAAAAGTGACAAAGCACACAGTTTAGAGAGTTACTGGACATAGGAACCAGAGAGGGTGGGGAGGCTGGATTTGTCAGAGAGGGAAGCGGAAATAGCTATGATCACTGTGCAAGGGCTCTGATGGAGAAGTAGACAGTATATAAGAACAGATGGTCAGGTGGCCACAGAAATGGTGCTTGAAGAAAGAACCAAACGGAAACGCTGAGGGTCAAGATGAAGAAGTCTTCAGTGGGCTCACTAGTGGATGGGACATGACTGAGGACAGAGTCTGTGAGCTGGGTGATATCTCAACAGAAACCGAACTGAAAAGTTAAAAGAACAAAGATAGGTGAAACAGAACTAGAACCACCCACAGCACATCCAAGAACGAGGGACAGCAGCAAAAGACATGGCGCGCATGTGATGGGAGTCCACGGAGGAGGAGAAGTATTTGAAACAGTGATGACTACGAATTTGTCCAATTGAGGTTAGACACCAAACCACAGATCCAGGAAGGTCGTGAATCTGAGCAGGATAAATATCAGGACAGCGACACCTAGGCATATCGTTTTCAAACTCTAGGAAGGCAACCTGTGAGAGAAGGTTTGTTGCCAGCCTGCTGAGCTGTACAGGCCGCTGGTGGAAGGGCCTGCTCGTGGGGAGGCTTGGTGTGCTAGTGAGGGGTGGGGGACTGGTGAGCTGGGGGAGAAGCAAGGGAGGCTGGGGAGTACGGAGCCTCCTTTTGCAGGGCCTTGAGCCTCTGGTAGGGAGTTCGTGCTTTCCTAACATGGAGTTGGACCTCTTTCCATGAAGCTGTGGCAGAGGGGTCATGAGCAGAACAATGTGCCAGTGCAGTAACACACTTGCAAGAATTGTTTTTGCCTGTGTGGAGAATGAATTGGAGAAGGACAAAAGGAAGCTGTGACACTCCAGGAAAGACACAAGGCTGGAATGGTGGTGGCAGTGCCATGTAAGGAAGGGTGCAGTCAAGGCAGAGCACATGGCTTTACTCAGAGGTAGAATTGACAGGTGTCGTGATGGCCTGGAGGAGTGGGACCATGAGAGATGGGAGGAGACGGGGCCAGTGCCTGGATGTTTGCCTGATAAGGGCCATTTTGACAGAAAGCATGTTTCCTCTATTGTTGAAGCACTTTTTGTGTGTTTTCTTTTTTCATCTGGTCCTTCTCAAAAATCATAAACTGTTAAGTACCATTTTCATCTTCTTGGTCTAGTTGTTTTTTTTGTTTTTGTTTTTTTTTTGCACTGAAGCCAAATTGTGCAATCTTCTTAAACTTTGACTCCTTTTCCTGTTTAGTAATGGGAACCTCCTTTGTTGATGTTTTTGGTGTTTGACTAGGAGCATTTTATCTGTTAATTATTGCTGCCAAGGATTTAAACTCAATTGATTTACCACTCCCAGTGAAGTCTCTCTTGAAATGAGATTCCTGAGTGTCACCTCTGCCCCAGGAAGAGCAAGAGTCTGTGAAAGCTGCACCTGTGGAAGAGCCTCCCTTCTGGCCACCCTGCTTCCCATGAGGAGACACTGGCTGGGTGGGGGCCCTGGAGTCCACTGACCCAGCTCCCCTGTAGCATGTGGTCCCTGTAGACCCCCTGTGCTTTCTAACCTGAACTTCAGGGGTAGGAAGGCAGACTCAGGGGAGTCTGAGCTTCCAACACTGGAAGCTGTGGGAGAGGGGTCATGAGCAGAACAGCATGCCACATGGCACTGCCACCACCATTCCAGCCTTGTGTCTTTCCTGGAGTGTCACAGCTTCCATTTGTCCTTCTCCAATTCATTCTCCGCACAGGCAAGTATACCGGCTTACTAAGTGGAATTTATTACATTTTATTAAAATATGGCTCTTTCTTGTGAATGAATTGAGAGCAAGTGTGTGAAACATATTTTAGTTAAGCAGATTGTTTAAATTGATACATGTGGAATGGAGTCTTTTATGTTTTCTAAGAAATAGAGAAACTGGGAAGAAAATCTATTAGTCGGTAATACATAGAGATTTATTTCACACCTAAATGAGAAGCCAGAAATGCATACAAAATATAAGAATTTCAAAAACATTTCTTAGGCACTGACTACTATTAAATACCCATGGATGTTTTTGATTTCCCATTACATTAAAATTCTCAAAGGAACTTCATATTCAGAACATTTAAAAATAGCCCAATCTTAAAAAGAAGATTTAAAGTATTATCAGCTGTGCTTTTTGTACATAATCAGCACGTGCCTATGGGAACTATAATGACTTCTAATCTAATGATACTGTTCATGATAAAAAGTTCAGATGGTAAGAATCAGGGCCACAGCTGGGTGACACATTTCTGAGGGATTCAGAGATGACTCCAGCATTGAAGGCAGGCAGTTTCAGTCTCCGGAGTCCCCTTCACCCATGGGTGGATCATGAAGGCACTCGTGAGAGAGGCTCTCTGAGTGCGTCCTTGCACCCTTTCTTACAGATCCCACGTGTGCTCAGTCCCTTCAGTGCTGGCAGGCTGCTGTGGAGCGACGTCCATTCCCTCTTTCTGACATGGCCCAGGAGTCTGGAGACCTGGCGTCTGACTGTCAGTTCTGGCTGCAGAAGCTCTCTGGGTGGGACCAGGCCTGCACTCTGGAGACCCAGCAGGACACCTGTCTTCACCTTCCTCGGTTCCAGGAATTCCTGAGACAGATATATGAAGCCCTGAAAGAGGCGGTGAGTAGTGGACCAAAATAGTGAAATTGTTTTATGACATCAGGGACTCCACCAGATGCCACCAGGCCACAGTGCTGTCCAGGGTTAGAGACTCTACTGACCTTGTGCACTTAAGGATTAGAAAGATGAGTTTCCTATGGTACAGCAGACAAGAGCCGGTTTCCTTCTCTGATTTATTTTTATGTTCGTCTTTTCTTCTTGGTAGCTGTATTGTCATGAGACTTTCTGACCAAGAAAGTTTTTATTTTTTCGTGTATATGTTTTCTTTTTTACTGTATGCCTGTGTGTGCATAATTTAAATTTTTATTTTTTTTGTGTGTGTGTGATGCTGGGGATAGAACCCAAGTAAACACTGTACCCCTGAGCTACACCCCAAGCCATGCAGGTTACTTTTATTTATTCTCAATAGTTTTACTGGTACACTGTAGTTGTACATATGGTGGGTGTGGTGTTATGTATTTGTCCATGCTCACAGTATAACATGGCCAGTGTCATTCCCCAGCATTTCTCTCCCCTCCTCCGTCTCCCTGGTTGCTTTCTGCTCTACTCATCTCCCTTCGCTTTTCATGAGGCCCCACCTACCACCTTTCTTTTCCTTTTTCCTCTCTAGCTTCCACATATGAGAGAAAATATACAACCCTTGACCTTCTGAGCTTGGCTTATTTCACTTAACATAATGTTCTCAAGTTTCATCCATTTTCCTGCAAATGACATAATTTCATTTTTCTTTATGGTTGAATAAAACTCCATTGTGCATCTCTACCACATTTTCTTTATCCATCCATCTGTTGACAGACACCTAGGCTGGTTCCAGAGTTTGGCTATTGTAAATTGTGCTATTATAAACATGGGGACCCATGTATTGCCAAGAAGGCTATTAAATAAATAAGACTCTGATGCTGTTTTCAAGTAATAAATGGGATTTTTTTCAAAGCCTTTGTGCCCTTCACATCTTGAAGAGTTCGCTAAAGTGCTTACCCTTTCCTCAGCCCTGTTCTCAGGTGGACTGTCCTGAGAGGTACTAAGATCTGTTCTAATACTCAGACCTGACTGTTAAGATAGTAGGGTCTCTTCTAATATTTCAAGTGATCTTTTCTAATAAATATTAGAAAAGATCTTCACTATTGTTAGTAATCGTTTGTGAAATATTAAGTTTTCTTTTTGACAAAATATTGTTTGATTTAATAGATATTTTACGACAGCACGTGTTTTTTTATTATAAATATATCATTTGTTTTGTATGTACTTGTAAATTTCAAAAAGAAAAGGCAAATCATTTGCTAATATATATGTTCTCATGTTATGCTTCCCTGCCATTAATCAAAGAAGCAAGTAGGAAATTTGAAGAATAATTCTGTTGATAATATGAGTTCACGTGTCTTTGGAAATCAGAAGGGCAGATACTCTGTGTAGTCAGATGTATGTAACTTGACCTTAACGTGGTCCCAGAAAGTCTGGGCCAGCCTTGGTTCTGAGACACACGTGAGGAATTTATTGCTGCAGCAGCAGGAAATGCTTATCGTTTCAACTTACCTGCACATTATCTCAGTTGGGTCTTATTTTTGAACTTTCATGAAAGGTAAAGAAGTGGGAAAAGGGCCAATTGTACAACAGCACGTGTATTTTTTAATCTTAGGCTGTTTTCTATTTGGTTTGTCTCAAGGTTTAGGTTGTTTTAGATTAAGTATGATGTCATTTAGCATACAGCAGTCAAAATTGTAATGAGCAGAGATTGGTATCTTTGGGCTCTGGCTGCTTTCTTTCTCTCTCTCTTTTTTTCTTTCTTTCTTTTTTTTTTTTAATACAAATTCCAGAGTTCTTGTTCCTTTAAACATTCTTTGAAATAGCCTCACTGGAGCTGGATTAATAATGTTCCTTATTTTGCTAGAGTTAAAAAGCAATATGAAGATATAGGATTATAAAGTTATTAATCACCAATAGTTCTTAAAACTCTTACTCAAGCCAGGCATAGTGGCACACGCCTGTAATCCCAGGGACTTGGGAGACTGAGGTAGGAGGATCACAAGTTCAAGGCCAGCCTCAGCCACTTAGCAAGACCCTATCTCAAAATATAAACTAAAAAGGGCTGGGGATGTAGCTCAGCGGTAGAGCACCCCTGGCCTCAAACTCTAGGAAATAAAATAAAATAAAGCTCTTATTCAGCCTAAGTTATTTTCAGATAGACTAGCCTTTCCTGACTACGGTTTAGTAGGATGCTTGACTGCTTGTTAGACTGTTCGTGAATTCTTTCCTGAAGATTTTCTCTTTTTTGTCTGCTTTTCTAAAATACACCAAGTAAGGAGCATCCAGGCCGCTTCCCTTTGTGATGCCCTTTTGCTGACCAAAGCTTACTTTTCTTTTCAGGATCCTACTACGATCATGGAAAGATTCCCCACAATCCGTCAACTGTTAACAAAAACCTGCCAGAATCCTTTTATCTTAGCATATGGTAAGGATCCAAGCTGTGTCTTCTCAAAACACAAACTTGTAATGACAGTTTTAATTTCTGCTTGAACAACATACAGAGACTTAATTATAAATCTTTCTCTGGTTTTCACTTAACAAGTGTATTTATTGCTGTATTGCAGAAAGATGTCCTTTATTGTGTGTGTGTGTGTGTGTGTGTGTGTGTTTGTGTAGAAGACATGCATGCACATGTGCACACACACCCCCTCCTGCAGATCCATAGAAAACAGGCCTCCTTGAAACAGAGGGCAGAAACTTACAGGTGATTGAAACAATAATTTTTGTCCGTAATCACTTTCATCACTTCATCTTTTTTTAAAAAAATTATTTGTTCTTTTTAGGTATACATGACAGTATTTTGACATATTACGCATACGTGGGGTTTAACTTCCCATTCTTGTGGTTGTACGTGATGTGGAGTTTCACTGGTCGTGTATTCATATATGAACATAGGAGACTCATGACCGATTCATTCCACTGTCTTTCCCGTTCCCATCCCCCTGCACCTCATCTTTAACTCCACGTAAAGTGACTAACAATACCAACTTAATGTCTTTGTTTCTCAAGATAGTCTGTTAACTCCCAAATGGTTTCCCGTGTTGTAAAATCATTCTTCAGAGTCTGAGTCTAGCCATGGCTTTGCTCTTACATAGGGGTGACATTCTGGTTTTATGCAGTTTGAGAAAGTTGAGGACGTGTAGGCGGGGGGTAATTCCTTCTCTGGCTTCCTGCCTCATCTGCTGTTTCATCTTCCTCAACAAGTCACAGACTTTGTGGTCAGGTCCTGTCACTGACAGTGCCTGGGGCCTTGGGGTCAGGGCCTGCAACTCCTGGGGTAAGTTCCTTGTGCTTCTCTTCTCCCTTGTCTCCTTAGGTCTCCTTTGAAACAGCCTTCCTGGGGTGAGGCAGGGACCTCAGTGTCCCCACAGCCCCCAGCATCTTCCTCTGGTGTCGCACTTTCTCACTGTTGGATGCCCCGGAAGACTGAATGTCTCTGAGAGCAGGAGCTATGGCCTCCTCTTTGTCTTCCTAAGGCCTGGCATGGGGCAGAGCAGGCACCCTGAAGGAGCACTTGCCTTGGGCTGACTGTATTATTAGCTCACGTAATATTTGCTTTTCAGATTTTTGAAATAAAAGATTAATTGAATTATGTAACAATATTAGAACCAAAGATAAAATGAATATTCCCCTTTGATATTTTAAAGAGTTGAAAAATTTCCCATGTCTATCCTGTCATAAGTGCTTAGAAGAGCGAGGCACTAGTGGGAAGGGGACACTTCTACACGTGGCCCTGTGAGCACAACATGTGGGTCACTGCACACTCTGCCCCTCGGCCTCCCTGACTCCGCCCCACCCTCTTCTGTTCTGCCTCCTCAGGCCTCTTCCTCTCCTTCCTCCCATCACCTCCTCTGGCTCTTGATCCGCCTTGGCAGATGAGTGAGCCAGCGCTGTTTGCCCACAAGGCCATGCTTCCCTGCTCCAAGTCCATGTATTGTAGTGAGGCCAGTGTCTCAAACATCTTCGACCAGAAAGGCATTTGTATACATGTGTATGTACAGTCGTGCACATATGTGCTTCATGCATACATGCTCACTCACGGGATCAGACAATTCATGAAAGAATGCTCATTTTTATGAGGAATCTGTTTTCACTGTGCTGTTTAAAAAATGGTATTCATGACCCAAAACTGATTTTACAACCCCTTGTGTAGCATGACCAGACATTTGAAAAACACTGAGCGAGGCTGATAGCAGGAGAAAGGAAAAGAAGCTGTTGAATGATTTCTAGTTACCAGCACCCGTGAGATGCTTTGTGGGTCTAATAATTGCTTTTTAGAAGAAAATTGGTTTAACTTTCCATATAAAAATAAACTCAGGGGAGGTAAGAGAGGAGGCACAGGAGGCTGGGATAGAAGAGGGAGGGGTGAGGTGGTGAGGTCCAGAGGCTAGGGCTGTGAACAAGGAAGGCAGAGAGAGAGAGAGAGAGAGAGAGAGAGAGGGTTTATGGAGCCTAAACCCAAAAGACAGTGTTTCCCATGTGTTGAGCGGTTCTGCACGCTCAGTTCAACAACTGTATAATTTTTAATTTTTCTCTTTCTTAAAAACAAAAACAAGAAGAGCCATGGAAACTCCTGTCCAGCATATGGGCCTGCCTCTCTTTGTCCAGAGTGAATGCACTGAAGTGCACAGCTAACCAGCTCCAAGCTTTCTCCGCTGTGGTGATTCACAGACACAAGCCACTGCTCTCCTTGCTGAAGTTACGAGCACTCGCTCCAGGCAGTGGCGCTCGCTGGGCAGGCTTCTCCCCAGAGGCCCTGAGATGAGGGCTGGAGCACCTTTGGGGCACTTACAAGAGAGGGGAAACTTCCCGAGGCTCATTTCAGGGACTGTAGAGCTTAGTGCAAACTGAGATTCAAAAATTGAGTGGTGGGAAAAGAAATATGCAGCATACATTTACCACCTGATGTTTTATATCTTGAACTGAAATTCCAGATGAAAACCAAATTCTTCATGTTTCATTTCTAGCTGTTAAGACTGTGACGCCAGCTATTTCTGTTGAAACAGTAAGCACCTGTTGTTTAAGCTGCTCAGTTGCAGAGGTTGGGAGGGGGAGGCCGGTGAACAGGGAGGGCCAGGGCTGCTGCTCTGCTTGGACACCAGGGCAGAGCTGGATAGCCACGCAGAACTTGGGAGTTGTGTGCAGAGGACATCACTGAATAAAAAGGTTCTCCCTCTCTCCATTATTGTCTTCTCTCTCCTCTTTTGATGTCTTCATTTCCAAATGGCTTGTCTCTGTGTCTTCCTTGTCTTTTTTATTCCCTTTCTCTCTCTTTCTCTCTCTCTCTCTCCCTTTCTCTCTCCTTCTGCTTCTGCCTGGCCTTGGAGATGCTGCTCGTCACGTTGCTTTGCTCTGGTCCTGGCTGCTGCTGAGTCTGCATCTCACTGGACCCGTCTGTCACACTTGCTACACGAAGCTGAAGGAGCCTAGCATCTGCCGAGGTTAAATCACGCGACTCTTGAAGTGAAGGGATCCCAGGCCAGCCAGTGCCTACTAGTGCTTCGTGTGGGCTCCTAAAAGCCAGGGGAAGGATGGACGGCCCTCAGAATAGCCCCTCACCTGTTTGTTCAGAGAACTGGTTACTGGGCAGGCATAGCTATGAATGTTGATGGGGGTGGGTGGTGAATTTACCATTAGCACCCTTTGCTTAGTGGTGAAAATACTGACTGGCGTCCTGCAGTCAGTATTGTGTTCTTTTCTTTATGAAGGAAGCCTTTAGAAGGCTGTTTATTGGACTACAGAAAATGGGAAGGAGAGTGGCAGGGGATCCTGCCCAGAACTGACCCCAGGTGCCCGCGGCCTCTTTGTGAAGTCCGCCATTACTCTTCTCCAGCTCTGGTGCTGATACCTTCAGTTTTTAGGCCTCATTTTTGTTTATTTTTTAAAATTTTTATTTATTTTTATGTGGTGCTGAGGATCGAACCCAGCACCTCGTACATGCTGGGCGAGCACTCTATCGCTGAGCTACAACCCTAGCCCCTCTTTTTTGTTTCTTAATTGAGTTATAGAATCTCTACCTGGAATGGAATCCATCACCACCAACAGAAAAAGAAAGTGGCTCATCAGATAGAGGTTCCTGCCAAGTGTATGATTTCAAGGTTCAGGATTTCCATCACATTTTCAGTGAAGTTTTAAATTTTAAAGAATAAGGAGCATGTAACAAGCTTCTATTTTCTCCAAATCATTTGGTACTAAAATGAATATGTTTTAAAACAATCCTTTATGTTGAATTTGTTTTTAACAAGCAAGGATATTTTGGCAAATTAGAAAATTAAGAGATTAAATTGGAAATGCTGACTGGCTTGCCTATGGCAGTTATGTTGCCTTAAAAAGGCCGAAATTACTAGTGGTTTGAAATATGAAATGAAAAGCCGCTCTCAAGAAAAGCCGACTTCTTCCAGTTCTTTCCATATTTTAAGGCCCTGTTTGGCTTTAAAAATTGCTGCTGTTACAGAAAGGGACTGACCACACAAGAGCTAAGCCCAAGTGAGCCCGAGCCCACAAGAAGAGGAAACCCGCAGGAGAGGCTTCACACAAGCTCTTGGAGGCCTTTTCTGTGAACTAGTTTTGAGATTTTTCTAAATGATGTTTTAAGAGGATTTTTTTTTAACAGTTTGTCTTCTTTCCCCCATTTGATAAAACCATTAATTTTAGTTTTCTTTCCTACAGATGAAAGCCAGAAAATTGTAATATGGTGCTTATGTAGTCTGATTAACAAAGAACCACAGAGTTCTGCAGAATCAAGACTTAACTCCTGGGTTCGGGTAAGAGGAAATCTCATTCTGCACTGTTTTGAAATAAGATTACTTAAAGGAACAGCCTTATTTTTTTTCTTTCTTCTTTGGGGAGGGGTATTCAGTTCTGTGATGTTTTAGACGCTGTTTCAAGCAGGCCCTTCACTGTGGACACTATTTTTGCTCGATTATGAATTCCAGAAGACATTGGCTCTGGGTCAGCATGAACCTCTCCATGCTGACAAGACCTGAGTGGTCTTGAAATGCCACTTTTAGGTAACTAAAAGAACCATTTTTTTCCTAGCAATTACTGTCTTTCAAAAAATGATTTCTCCTACAAACCTAGTTTAAATCCTTATGGATTTCCTCTTCAGCAACTTCTCTGCCTGTCTCAGAACCTATTCTGGAGCAAATCTAAAATTCAGAAGTGCCCAGGGAGCAGCAGTCTCTATTTTGGCTCCCATAGTTGGTACCTGTGCCAGTAAGCTCAGCGACCTGTCCCTGGTACTTCTACCACTGCCGCACACACTGTCAAAGCCGCAGCCTGCACATTGGTCCCTTAGAGCAGCTTCCTGGGCTCCCGGTCTGTGTCTGCTTCCTCTGAGGGGCAGGCACAAGTGGGGATGTGGTAGGGCTGGCCATGGCTGCCCCGCCACCAGTACTGTCCTGCTGCCTTAGCCGAGGACTCCGCTCAGTGTGCATGTGGTTCAGATTAGCTGCTTGGCATCACGAAATCAGCCAGCCGGCCTAATCACCCGGTTTCATCTATCAGCCTGACTGGTGATGTCATTACCTTCAATACTCTTGACGATGCCTTCGTTTCAGACAAAATTGCTACTAGAGATGACAAAAAAAGTATTTGTATTTCTCTATTGGATTCAAAGAAGAATAGAAGGAACACTAGAGGTGAAAGGGATTGGGCAAGAAACAAATACAAAATCTAATTGGAATTTGTGTAAATGGCTGAGGAAAGGAGAACTGATAAATGAAATTAGAGAAAAAGGAAGATGTAAAACAAGGCTATGAAAATAGAACATGTGTTTAGGCTTTACTTTTTAAATTGTTGCTTTTATTGGTGTCTGATGTTTTAGAGACTATTTAATATGTAATTTTGCATGGGCTGACTCCTTAAATTCTAAACCAGGCCATCTAATAAAGAGTTTCCAAGGTGACTCTGTGAACTTTCTTCATTTAGCTCATGACTTTATTAGCCTATTTAAAAATTTCTAACTTCAAGTTTATCCTTGTTTTTTTCCTTGTTTAGTACTTGTCTACTTATTAATAGGCACTCGAATTAAGTGTAGCATAGGGAGAGAAAATTAAAACACTTAATCGCCACCTTAGGGAACTCACTGACTGGTGGCCAGGTCATGCCAGGACAGTGTGGTTGGGTGGTTGGTAAAGCTGTGTATAGGTGTGATGGTGACACAGGGGGCACTTGCCCAGACATGGGGGCTTGGAGACAAAGCCTGTGGTGGGGGTAGGGTGGGGTGGGGTGGGATGGTACGGTACCAGATGCAGGTGCATAGTGCTTCCCCGGGGTGGGGATCTGTGGGGTGCAATGAAGCATGGAGCTGGGGAGATGGACCTCAGTACCACTGTAAGGAGGATTTATTTTATCTTAAGGGTGGTAGGGAAACCATCAGAGTATTTAAACAGAGAAACCATTTGGCCAGATGTGAGGTTTGGGTACTAACAGCTCTTTGGAAGAGCAAGAAGGTAGCACTTTGGGGGCTGTTGCACAGTTAAAGGTGAGAAATCATGAGTGCCTGAGAGAGAGAGAGAGAAGGGAGACAGTATTTATACCCTGTTTTATTAAATAAGGTAAAATCCAAAAGAGATCCTGGCAGCTTAAGAGCGGCTGTCCTGAGGTGTGGGTGGAGATGTGCAGAGGAGAGTTGAGAGTTCCCTTCTCGGAGAGGGAGCTGACTGCTGATGAAGGGCTGGAAGTGAATGGTGAATGGGGAACATGGTGTGGGAGCCTTGGGTGAGGCCAGACCACCCAGTCAGGAAGAGGGGCTCCAGAGAGGAGCCTTGGAGCCCTGAGAACGAGTCCAGGGACAGGAGGGAAGCAGGAGCGCCTGCCTCCAGCAGTTCCCATTCCTGCCCAGTGCTTCGAGCAGGGTCAGCAGAAGTAAAGTATATGCTCCTGTAGATCTTCTATTACATTATAAAATAAAAAAAAAATTCCAGACCAGTTCTTGTTTTTGTTTTTGGTACCAGGGATTGAACCCAGGGGCACTTAACTACAGAGCCACCCCCCCCACACACACACACACACCACCCCGCTTTCTTATTTTATTTAGAGACAGAATCTCACTGAGTTGCTTAGGGCCTCCCTAAGTTGCTGAGGCTGGCTTTGAACTTTCTATCCTTCTGCCTCAGTCTCTTGTGCCATTGGGATTACAGGTGTGTGCCACTGCACCTGCCCTAGATTAATTCTTAAATTTGAAAATGTTATCCTGGGTTATCTTTTTAACACAGAGAAGAAATAAAAGTTCTGTTTGAGGCTTGGATATATGTTGCCACATGTTACTCTGGAAACACATTGATAAGGTTTTTGGAGTTTCACTGATACTCAGAATGTGCTATCAAATAACATGATCTGAGTGGCTATTTTTACAGAGACTGGTTAAGGTCACAGGACTCTCTCACACCTTTCAGAATATTTGATTCTTGAACAACTTGATTTTACTGGTGAATGCACTGAACACATACTTTTGAATGTAGACTGTTTGCCAGGCATTGTGATAGAAGCTAAGGACAGAGCATTGAACCTGAAAGAGTCTGCTCTCTTACAGTCAGAGCGGAGTTTCCCAGGCCTGCCAAACTTAGGGGCAGCTTTTCCTCCCTGGGTAAGAGGGTCCCACTGCTGTTTCTCACCTGGATGAGAAGAAACAGTAGGGTGCCATGAGCAGAGGGCCGCAGGGCTGTGCTCTGTCCTCAGTCCTCTCAGCAGGCAGTGCTGAACAGCGTCCAGCTGGCTTCAGTCTTCTGTTTTCTCCTTCTTTTAAAACCTTTAAAATTACAAAATCTAACAAACATGCAGAAAAATGCACAAAGCATAAATGTCAAGCTTAACGAATTGTTGCAGACTAGGAGCTGGGGTACATTTTGCCTGGCTTCTAGATGCTTCCTGCTTCCTGCTGGTATTCCCCTTGTTTTCCCCCAGTAGTGACCACTAACCTGACTTTTATTTGTGTTGCTTTATGTTTCTATCACTGAATTATGCAGTCTGGCTTGTTTTTTGTTTTTTGGGTTTTTTTGATAGAAATGGAGGAATACAGTGTGCATTCTTCTGTGTATGATTTATTTTATTTAATACTGTGTTGCCAAGATTCATCCATGATGTTGGGTACGTGATTTGTACTTTTTATCCACTCTACTTTTGATGGGAATTTGTTTCTAGTTCGGGGGAATTAGGGTCAATCTAGTGTCTGAAGCGTGTATTTCATAGACAGGAGAAATGGCAGGGTGTGGGATGTGTGTATCCTAATTTTACTGGCTCATGCTGATTTTCCCCCTGGTAGTGGCAGCAGCTTCAATTTCTATGGTCCACACATGAGGGTTCCCTGTCACTTGATCCTGTCAGACTTCCAAGCCTCCGGTTACCCTGATGGGCATGTGCTAGTGTCTAGCGTGGTTTTTGTTTGTTTTTCCTGAAGTTGAACTTTGATTTTGTCAAATCCCTGTTCAAGTTTCTTAATTGTTTTCCTTCTAAAATTTCTTTCCTTGTTGGTTTGTAGAAACTCTTTATGTATGTTGGACATAGGTACTTTTGAAGAAACCTCAGTGTGGCAGCTCTTGGTTCCAGCCTGTGACCTGTGTTTATGTTCCTTTACTGTCTTTTAAAGGAGGCATTATTTTTAGCTCTATTCTAGTTAAACTTACGGCTCTTTCCCTTTGAGGTTAGCATTTTACATCTTACCTGGGGAATGCTGTGCTCCCCGGCCGTGTTACTTTCCTTGTGCAGTTCTGGGGTCCCCCTGCAGCTGTGCTTGTGTGAGCAAAGGTCAGAGTTGGCTTTCACACTGTGTCCCTGTGGCCGCCCCATGCCCAGCACCACTGGTGGGAAATCACTTCCCTCTCTCTATATATGTTACCTTTGTCATGAGCCAGGTGTCTTTGCATGTGCAGGTGTGACCCTGAGTCTCTCCCTTGGTCTTGAGGTGGTTAATTGTATGGGTCAACTTGACTGGACCATTAAGTGCCCACGTGTTTGGTCAAACATTATTTCTGGGTGTTTCGATGATAGTGTCTTTGGATGAGAGTAAGCTGGTAGACTGAGTAAAGCAGATAGCACCTCCCTCGTGTGGGTGGGCCTCATCCAGCCAGCCCAAGTCAGTCAGTTTGGTGAGACTCTCAATGGTCACTCTACCCTTGGAAAAAATGTATTTTTATCAGCTTTATTTAGAGTCACCTTTGGATGGGATTGAAGTGCAGCCCCCAGGAAGGGGAGAGGTGCCAGCCTTCCCTCCCTGTCTGCTCAGTAGTGTTATTTTTAGTCTCTGACTCCTTTGCAGGGATCTCCTGAGCTGGGGTTTCCCGTGGGTAGCCCCCTCCCCTCAGGAGCTGTTCCCTGCTGGTCATGTGGAAGTCCCAGTGTGTGAATGAGAGGGAGCAGGGACTCCAGGGAGCCTGGCAGCCCTATGTGGTGGACTCCCTCCTCTTTCTTCGAGATCCACTTGAACTGTTTGTGGCCTGTGGCCGTCTAACATCTGGACTCAGGAGGCAGTGCCCATTAGGCAGACATCTGTCTTGTCTCATGCAGTCTTTCCAGCGTCATCTTTGTGCATCAGTGGGCGATCCCGTGTGCCACCTGGTATCGCGTCCCCCGTTTCTATCCATGTGCCACCTGTGTGTGCAGCTTCTCCTGGCCTTCTTGGAACCTAATGACTTTCCCTTTCCCATTCTGTTACCCGCTCCCCAGGCTCCCCGCCCCAGGGTCTTCTGCGTCCTGGGATCCTATCGCATAGACTGCACCCCTGCCCGGGGTTTGTGCTTTGCACACATTCCCATTCCTGAGCTTG